GGAGGAGGGAGGGAGGGGGCGGGGGTGGCCCAGTGCAAAGTGCATCCTGAAAGCCCCCCGCCTGGCGCCCCCGCGGCTGCTCCGGAGGACCCTGCCCGGAGCCGAGACCTCGCTGCCCGGAGGGCCCCCGTGTCCTCGCCGCCTCGGAGCTGGGAGCCTCCGGCCCGGACCGCGGCAGCCCCTCTTGCTTCGGAGCGCCCTCAGACCGGGAACCCCCCCCCCCCCACCCGCACCCTGTCCCCGAGCCGGGACTTCCTCCCTGCACCCCTGCCCTGGGGCTGCCCCGAGGACGGGACCGCCGCCTAGCGTCTGCTCGGCTGTGTGGATGCTCGCCGGGGCTGGGGCCGGGTGGCTCCGGAACCCCCCGTGTCCGGCCCTGCCCGAGGCATCTCTTTCTTCAATGGAGAAGTTGGTGAGTGTGGAGGAGGCTGAGAGCAGGGAGCGCCGCCGCAGCTGAGGAGACAGGTAAAGTCAGTTACCTTCCCTGAAGCCAAGGGGGCGGCTGGGAGGGAGGGAGAGAGGAAGGGAGGGGGGGAAAAATCACTGCATCTTCCTAGCTTGCCCTGAACCAACCCCTCTCTCTCCCCCTTTCCCCCGCCCCCCCCATCTCTGTCTCCCCTTTTTGCTCCCCTTCTTCCAAGCACCCCCACCACCACCACCACCACCACCACCCTCTCCCTGCTGCTCGCCCCTGGGACGCTGCCCTGCACCTCACCTCTCCCTGCTTTCTGGTTTCCAGGTTTGCTGTTTGCCTACCCCAGTCTGCAAAGCCAGAGGAGGCCTGCCCACCCACCTGGGAAGCAGTCCAGGACTTCTGAGCAGCAGCATCCTCCTCACAGGTAATCAGCCAGGCCTCCCCGGCCCTCCCCCATCGTTTCCCCCGGGCCCCTGGCTCATGAGGCAGCAGCTCTCCGTTCACCATGGTTCCCTGGGGACTGGGGTGCAACTGGTTCCTGGACACACACACCCCCTTTGCAACGCAAAACACACACACACACACACACACACACACACACCAGGAATGCTGCTCTTTTTGCCCTGCTCCTGGATTTTCATAACTTTTCTACAACCTCATCATCTCCCCCTCTCCCCTCTCCAACCCCTTTTCTCTCTGTGTGTTTTGCATGATCTTTGGTGATGGTACCGTTTTCCTCGCTCTGAGAAGCGGAAACCTTTCTGGGGTCCTCCCCTAGGAATTTTCCTCGATTGCTTGTTCATCCTGAAGGACTCTGCTTTTTTTTTTTTTTTTTTTTTTTTTTTTTTTAATTAATCCACAGCTTTCTCTGTCCCGCCCCCCTGATTCCTGCCTATCCCTGTCCTTCAGCCTCCGCCAGAATTAAAAAATCGTTGGGATGCCGAAACCGGTTTGGCTCAGTGGTAGAGCGTTGGTCTGCGGACTGAAAGGTCCCAGGTTCGATTCCGGTCAAAGGCATGTACATCGGTTGCGGGCACATCCCCGGTGGGGGGTGTGCAAAGAGGCAGCTGGTCGATATTTCTCTCTCATCGATGTTTCTAGCTCTATCTCTCTCTCCTCCTCTCTGTAAAAAAAAATCAATAAAAAATATATATATATTTTTTTTTAATCGTTGGGAGTTCCCTAACCCACCAGGGTTTGGGAGAGGAAGGTAATAATGGCTGGAGATGGATGAGTTTTGGAAAACAATGTGAGGTTTTTTTTCTTAGGCCCGTGGTCGGCAAACCGCGGCTCATGAGCCACCTGCGGCTCTTTGGCCCCTTGAGTGTGGCTCTTCCACAAAATACCGCCGCTGGGCAAGTCTGTTTTGAAGAAGTGGCATTAGGAGAAGTCTAAGTTTAAAAAAAATGTGGCTCTCCAAAGAAATTTGATTCATTGTCCTGTTGCTATTGGGCTCTGTGGGCCAGTGAGTTTGCCGACCACTGGCCTAGTCTAAAGGGAGTCGTGTACCTTAATGGTTGCAGATTGCAGGAAAGCAGTATTCTCCCCTTGAAGGTCTTATGTAGGGAGAACGCTTCAGCCTTTTGTGTGCTTCTGAGGGACCCGTGTGGACGGGCTCCGAGGCTGTTAAAATAAAATGGTAAGATAATAACTCGTTCCACCTCCGATTTTCTAGAACGCATAAAAACTTTCTGTGATACCTCGTTATCATTTTGACGCACAGGAATTTTAAAACGAAGGCATGTTCTTGGCTTTTCTTCTGTGCCCTCTTCATGCATGAGATTTCTCCATGCCAAACCCTCACAGATAATTTGTTAGATTTGAAATGTAAGCAGTCACCCCTGGCCGGTGCGGCTCAGTGGGTAGCGTGTCGGCCTAAGGACTGAGGGGTCCCGGGTTCGGTTCCAGTTAAGGGGCACGTGCCTGGGTTGCAGGCTCCATCCCCGCCCCTTGTCGGGGTGCGTGAAGGAGGCAACCAGAGGGTGTGGCTCTCTCACATCAATGTTTCTCTCTCTGTCTCTCCCCCTCCCTTCCGCACTCCCTGAAAATCGATAGAAAAAACATCCTCGGATATTTATCCTTGGAGGATGAACCAAATGAAAAAGCAAAGAAATGTAAGCATCAAAATCTGTGCCATTCCTAAAGGAGGAGGTATGATCAGGGAAATCATACAAGCATCAATTGAGAAATTGGCCAAACGAATGACTTTTCTAACATCCAATCACGGCCGTCTACAGTGAATTGTGTTTTTTTGTTTTTGTTTTGTTTTTTTAAATTTTGAGAAGTTGGTTTTTTTTTAACATATTTTATTGATTTTGTACAATGAGGAAGGGAGAGAGATACAGAGTTAGAAACATCAATGAGAGAGCCTCTTGCACACCCCCTACTGGGGATATGCCCGCAACGAAGGTACATGCCCTTGACCGGAATCGAACCCGGGACCCTTCAGTCCCCAACCTGATGCTCTATCCATGGAGCCAAACCGGTTTCGGCTACAATTGACTTGTTCATCTCAGAGTCATTTTAATATCTCAAGACGGCTTAGGGAATTGCAGGTACCACGAAGTACCTAAAATAGCAGAAGTCCTCAGAAAATCTGTGATTTGCTCTGGTACGCTGGCCGTTCCGCCTTCCGCAGAAAGAACGGAATGTCCGTCTTGAGTCTCCTTGTTGCCAAGACATAGTGACAGACACTTTTTAAAAATATATATATATATATATTATTGATTTTTTTACAGAGAGGAGGGAGAGGGAGAGAGTTAGAAACATCAGCTGCCTCCTGAACACCTCCTACTGGGGATGTGCCTGCAACCAAGGTACACGCCCTTGACCGGAATTGAACCTGGGACCCTGCAGGCCTTAGGCTGACGCTCTAGCCATTGAGCCACACCAGCCCAGCCTGGTTTGCATATTCTTGAGAACTGGGAGCAGATACCTGGGGGACGTGAACGCCACGGGATTTCGAGTCCATGTCTACCAGCAACTGCCCCGTGGTGGACAGTTCGGACAGCCTTTCTGAATGTTCTTAGGATCGGATTCATTTCCGTGAAAGCTGGGCAGAAGTCTGTGACGTTCAAGGCAGTTTGGAGTATCTCAGTGTGCGAGTCACCGGAGAGATGTCTAATAATTAGGATTTCCAAAAATATTAAGGTAAAAATGAATTATGTCTTGCTGAAACCGGTTTGGCTCAATGGATAGAGCGTCGGCTTGGGGACTGAAGGGCCCCGGGTTCGATTCCGGTCAAGGGCATGTACCTTGGTTGTGGGCACATCCCCAGTAGGGGGTGTGCAAGAGGCAGCTGATCAATGACTCTCTCATCGATGTTTCTAGCTCTCTATCTCTCTCCCTTCCTCTCTGTACAAAATCAATAAAATATATTTAAAATATATAAAATGTATTTAAAATATATATTTTTTTAAAAAAATGAATTATATCTTTCCTATTCAGGCCTTCTCTGTTAAATAATTTTTCCCCCCATGCTTTAGACTTAATTCTAGCCAGGCTGGTGTGGCTTAGTGGTTGAGCATCTGGACTCCCTGCCTTCCCCAAAAAGGAATGTCTTTCTTGCTAGCTAGAGATACTTCTAAGGGGCTCTGAGGGCTTGCATATTCTTCTGTTTTCAGCTATGAACCAGGAGGTCACAGGTTCGATTCCCCGTCAGGGCACATGCAGGGATTTCCGGCTCAACCCCCAGTAGGGGGCGTGCGGGAGGCAGCCGATCCGTGATTCTCTCTCATCACTGATGCTTCTCTTAAGAACTCATCATCAACACACACCTCGGCCATGTCAGACTTTGTAGTATTTCTGTACCCATCTTCTCTTTGAAGGGGTGGTTCGGTTTCTGTGTGTGTTTTTGTCTCAATATTCTTGGGAGTTGCTGATTTTATTTCCTTAGCGGCCTGGATCTCGGTTTACTCTGCAAAAGAAATGCTTACTTTTTTTTTTTTTTTTTTTGAGTAGCAAGCTGTTATCTTGTTTCCAGCTTGTGTGAAATATGAAAGCTCATTTGTGTCACTTAATCAGAAAATGTGTGGACTTCCAGTGAGAAATCACGTGCAGAAAGCCATTAGTGACTAACCGTGCACGCCGAAGGAAACTGGGGACATGTGGGCAAATTCGGTGCGAGTTATGTAATTTTAGACAGGTCTGAAATATATATATATGTATATGTATATATGTGTGTGTGTGTGTGTGTATATATATATATATATATATATATTTTTTTTTAATTTCCTTCATTCCATGGTATGGATAGAGACGTTTTCTTAATTATATGAAGAAGGAAGTTTTGCTTTTTTAACTTAATGAAGTGTACTCGGCCATCCATGTGGGAATTTAGTTGGTAACAATTATTTCTGTATTTGCTTTTTTTTTTTTAATATATTTTTATTGATTTCAGAGAGGAGGGGAGAAGGGGAGAGAGAGCGAGAGAAACATCAATGATGAGAGGGAATCACTGATTGGCTGCCTCCTGCACACCCCACATTGGGATGCTATCCAGCCTGGTGAACCGTGACTTCTTGGTTCAGAGGTCAGACACTCAACCACTGTGCTACACCAGCCAGGCTCGATGGTAACATATCATTTCTAAATGTTTAGTTTCTAATAAGGTCAACAGCATAAAAGCTTGGAGGCCTGTATTATCTTTTGACCCCATGTAGAGTAGAAAAGATGAATTCATCACATTTAAACATAGTATTAACATCGGGCAACAAAATGTTATGTAAAAAGATACATCAGGCCCAGCCTGTGTGGCTCAGTGGTTGCCTCGACCTATAAACCAGGAGGTGATGGTTCGATTCCCGGTCAGGGCTCATGCCCGGGTGGCAGGCTCCATCCCCAGTGGGGGCCGTGCAGGAGGCAGCCGATCGGTGGTTTTCTCCTATCATTGATGTTTCTCTCTCTTCCTCTCCTCTCCTCTCTAAAATCAATACAAATATTACTTTAGAAAAAAAATTTATATATATTTATATTTGCTCATTTGGCATATAATTCTGAAGTCTTCCTTGTTAGTATGCCTTCTGTGCTTTCTTTTCTAACTGCAAAACCTGAAGTGGAGTTTCTAAAGACTGCACCTTGAGAGTTTTGGTCCTTCTGAGTCATCATTCATGTAAAACAATTCTCATTGTGCATTTACTTATTTAGAACCCGCCACCCAGGCCACGTTCCCGTGTTCAGGGGGCGGTTTCCGTGAGCTGTCAGGTCCTCCCTCACACCTGCCCCCTGGAGAGCAAACAGACTTTTCTTTTTCACTCTCACGTCTGGACTTCCTCTGTGGTTCTCAGCGGCCACCTTTGCCCTTTAAGATCAATCGTCATGTTTTTTCTTTATTTGTGTGCACGTGGGCAGCTGTGCTCCAGTGAGTACAACTGCCCACGGAATAGCGCCGAGGGCAAACGCGTTGTCTGACGCTTTGGACTGTTGGGACATTTGGCCATAAGTCGTGTCATCCTCCATAACGTCAGGGCTGCATCTGCCAGGGTTCATGTGTGCATGCCGTGTGTGTCTGTGTGCATGGTGTGTGAGTCCGTGTGTACATTGATATGTGTGTCGTGTGTACATGGTCTGTGAGCCCATGCATGCATGGTCTGTGAGTCCTCGTGTGCATGGTATGTGTGTCTATGTATGGTATGTGTGTCATGTGTACACAGTACGTGAGTCCATATGTGCATGCTATGTGAATGCATGTGTGGATGGTATATGTGTGTCCATGTGTGTGTGGCATGTGTATGTCCATGTGTGCATGGTATATGTGTGCGTGGTATATGTGTGTCCATGTGTGCATGGTGTGTGTGTCCATGTGTGCATGGTGTGTGTGTGTCCATGTGTGCATGGTATATGTGTGTCCATGTGTGCCCATGTGTGCATGGTGTGTGTGTGCCCATGTGTGCATGGTGTATGTGTGTCCATGTATGTGTGGTGTGTGTGTGTCCATGTGTGCATGGTATATGTGTGTCCATGTGTGCATGGTGTGTGTATGTCTGTGTGTGCATGGTATATGTGTGTCCATGTGTGCATGGTGTGTGTGTGCCCATGTGTGCATGGCATATGTGTGTCCATGTGTGCATGGTGTGTGTGTGCCCATGTGTGGATGGTATGTGTGTGCCCATGTGTGCATGGTGTGTGTGTGCCCATGTGTGGATGGTATGTGTGTGCCCATGTGTGCATGGTATGTGTGTGTCCATGTGTTTCTCCTGTGAAGATCCCTGCATGAAAGAGTGCTTTTTGGGTTTAAACCGACAGTTATTGTTTACAGCGGTGGGCATTGTCAGAAAAGGGGAACGTGACGAGCCGCTTCTAGAATTCCTTGGTTCGTTTTAAGCAGGCAGAGCTGTCCGGTGGAGTTCTAACCGGGGGTCCCCCGCGGGGCCGGGCCTGACGGTGGCGGGTTCGATTCCCGCCAGGCACCCATGAACCTGTTCTCCCCCCACAGGAGCCGCCCGTTCGGGACCCTCACACGTTGTCACCGAGCGCGTGCCTCCGTCTGCATCGCTTAGCACAGAGGCTTTTCTCTCTTTCTCACATATTTTTATTGGTTTCAGAGGAAGGGAGGGGAGAGAGAGAGAGAGAGGAACATCCATGAGGAGAGAGAATCACGGACCGGCTGCCTCCTGCACGCCCTCCCCTGGGGATCAGGCCCGCCACACCCGCCGGGCAGGATCCCTTTTCTTGTAGTTATAGAGGGATTTTTTTTTTTTCCCAGAGTTCACAGAAGGAAGCTGGCAGACCTTTGTTAATCGTTTACTCACTGGGGTGTGTGCGCACGGGAATGACAGTTTGAAGGTGACTCACTTGGTGCCTCTTGGACGGACGAAGCACCGACATTTAAAATCACCGCCGCCTTTTGCTGGTCACCCGCTCCCTCTCGGCTCTGCCCGCCTGCTGTACTGATCGCACTTTTTTTCTCCTCATGGTCCTGCCTGGAAAAAGACAGGTGACCCACGGTGTCCTTTAAAAATAAAGAATTCAGGCCCTGGCCAGTGCGGCTCAGTGGTTAGAGTGTGGGCCCAAGGACTGAAGGGTCCCGGGTTCTACTCCCGTCAAGGGCACGTACCTCAGTTGCAGGCTCGATCCCATTTTCCATT